AGGAGCTAATGGCTACACACCGCACCAGGTATACTCATTTGAGGCTGAGTCGACCTACGGGAGACCCACTTCGGATAATCGTCACTTAGTGCTGGCCGTGGGCATAAATAGAACTCGGCTCGTCGAGTTTGTGTAAAATGCACAAACGCACTATTCACTCTTGTCGCTCTAAACGTATTCTTTTTGACTAATACAGGGTGGTTAAATTTCGATTTAAAGCTTTCGTGACTGCAGGGATTCATCTTCTTGGTTCTTTCGGTAAAGTCACGTGGAATGGAAATAATAAAATACAAATAAAAAATAACAAAATAATTCTCACGACGTTTCGGCCACAACGCAAGCAGCCGTCCTCAGGTGGAGAACAGACTCTGTCTCCTCGACAGACCTGTTCTCCACCTGAGGACGGCTGCTTGCATTTTATTATTTCCATTTTACGTGACTTTACCGAAAGAACCAAGAAGATAATGCAGTGTGCTTAAAAAAATGCGAACACTTCCGAGAATTTGCAACAATACCACGAGAAATGTGCCTTCTGATTCTGGAGACTACCTGGAGAAGATTCCAGGCATGCGTTGACAACGATGGCGAACAATTGGGAGACTCTTTGACTTTTTAAAAGCTATTGACATTACATTTGTTTTCATGTTATCCGTTCTTTTCCCAATTAAAAACGAAAGTCGCATATAAGTGTTACCATAGTTTTGAAGCACCCTGTAATGCGCCCACTGTACCATCTATCACGATATAGCCACGTGCGTGCGTGGGCATAGTACACGTGAGATGAAATGATAGGTGACGATTTTGAATGGCACATCCGGTAGGTGACGAAACACATCGCTGCAACATCTCCGCGCTCCCACAGCTACTGAACGTAGACAGATTAAACTCGACAGTGGCTTAACAGTGCTCGGCAGTCTGCACGCCACGGCCGCGCTAATAGATGGATTAAAACCCCGGGGACAAAATATCGGAAGCATTTTGATGGGTGACCACCATCGCCGGGGCTTGCCAGGTGTGCCGTGGGCGTTGGGCTTACAGGTGTGCGCCAGGATATGGCAACGCTGTCGCTCTCCTCGTGTGCTTGGTGGGGGTGCCTTTCCGGTTTTTCAGTGTCATGTCACACTAAACTATGAACTAAAACTAAACAAATGTTTTTTTGCTTTAACCAGGTAAGGCCCACTGAGCTGGCTTATGCACGTGGACATTTATAGCAGAAACATACTCATTAACGCGTGGTGTTGATTCTAAATGTGGAGGGAAAAAGAAAACCGGAGAAAAATCCACGCGACCACCACAGGGAGAGAGACTTGCAAACTCACAATATACAGCAGGTGTCAGGGTCAGGATCAGACCCACGACCTCCTGTATACCAGGCGAGGTAGTTAACATATCCTAGCCACCGTGATGATGACGAGAGAAAGACACCACAAACTCACAATATAGAGCAGGTATCAGGGTCGGGATCAGACCCACGACCTCCTGCGTACCAGGCGAGGTAGTTAACATCTCCTAGCCACCGTGATGATGACGAGAGAAAGACACCGTAAACTCACAATATAGAGCAGGTGTCAGGGTCGGGATCGGACCCACGAACTCCTGTATACCAGGCGAGGTAGTTAACATCTCCTAGCCACCGTGATGATGACGAGAGAGAGACACCGCAAACTCCAAATATAAAGCTGGTGCCAGGGTCTGGATCGAACCCACGACCTCCTGTATACCAGGCGAGGTAGTAAACATCTCGCCACGGAGGCGTCCTTAGACCATAGACTTCACCATGCTGGTCAGCCTGGGTTGCGGGGAAGGAATATACGTTCAGTACAAGAATATATTTTGCTGTACCGCCCTCTGCTGCTTACAGCGTAGCGCCGCAGCCTATAATACATATTCTCTGGGTATTTCGGTAAAGTCACAAAGTTCCGTGACTTTACCGAAAGACCCAAAGAATATGAATTCCTGCAGTCACGAAAGCTTTAAGCCACCTATAATACCTGTTATGCACGGTGGTTCGTAGCGCATTGCGCTAACGAATACCGCACACACAACCACTTCAACACGCTGGCCACGTGTGTGGGTTGGTGAAAGGGAGCGGGGGGGGGGGGTAGCGTTTGGTGACGGTGGGGGCAGGCACGGTTCAGACCTCACTCACCCCACTAATGTTAGCCGTGGCAGGGGAAACGAATGTGGGTGGTGGTCCAGTTTGACTCCGCTGCGCGATGACCAATGTAGTTACCACGCTGCACGCAAGCCGGCCCCAATGACGATCGCAATCGCGTTCCTATTGCATCGATCATGCCTGTAGACCACTGCTCATGGTTATTATTATTTATATTTTCCATAACGGCCAAGCACGCAACGAGTCTTGCCCGTAACGATTGGGCGGTTTTTTGTTGTTGTTGTCGTCAAATATTGTTTTCCTCGGAATCTATCAAAGGTGTGGCAACTACCGTCAACGGTCAGCTCCTCCATTCAACCCCCTTGGAGTCAGGGATCATTTAACCGAATACCGATGGGATGCGTCAAATAATGCGGTAACATTTTTGTTTGCACGCGGCGAGGAGACAAGTCAGGGTGTTAGTTTGTTTGACCCACGGGCGTCGGCAAACAGAATAACAAGCATAGACTTTTTTTTATCGAATTCGGTACTATAACAACAACAAAAAGCACACCTCAATAAGTGCCGGATTATCCGAGTAACAAAAGAAGCTTACATATGTAGTAGCTACGGGCCCCGCACTTTCAAGGGCCCCGCGCTAAATGCTTTCAAGTTATCAATTCCGGTTCAGTGACTCTGCACTTGCTCTATTACTACAGTACTATACTGCCTTCAACTTTTATGAACGACCGAATGTTTAAGGTTATCGATTTGTCGTATTATCTGGCTGTATAGCAAATGAAAAAATATAATTACTTTACTATGCAAGTAAAAAAATAGTGTTTTAATATTTACGTGTTAAAAACAAAATTAGGGCCCCTTTATAACATATGCTAGAGGCCCCCCACTAGCTTAATCCGGCACACACCTCAATACTTCAAGAGCCGCAATTCCACTACGGTGGTGAACACGAGACGGTGGTGGGACCTTAATAAAATAACGTGTACATGAAGCAGCGGTTCCTTGAAGAGCCACACGCGGCTCTGGAGCCAAAGGCATTAGGATCCGCGGTTTAACCAGATGCGAACTTAAGCGACGAGGATTATTTACTTTGCAAGGGGTGATCTGTAGAGCGATAACACGGGAAGAAAGGAGGGGTATTGTTTATTGTATTGTCCGGTCATATATTTCGTTCTGTTCTCCGCGTGGACGCCAATGATTATGTTCGTGTGAAGTATTATAGAGCTGTGAGTCATACTGCATGAGGATCCATAACTGCCAGACAAGCGTCGTCGCCTATAAACGCATAGCAGGTCGGCAGCATTAGTTGAAGCAAGCCGGACACTGCTGATGAGACATCAAATGTCCAAACCGGGTCAGAGGTTGCTGGTGTTAAAGCAATACTGCTGGGTAATAAACTATCGGAAGCGAGGCCGTGTGGCTGATGAGATGTGTAAAACACAACCTATTTTTTCGATGTGGAGAGAGAGAAATGAGGAGGTGTATCGTCTCCGTGTTCATTTGTGACCCATCATGATTATTGATTTTTTTTGCGACGATTTCGCTATGCGTTCACTTTTAGAATGTTCCCTCTGATTACACTGGTCAACAAAAAAAAAACATTTTTTTCTGGCCTAGGCTTTTGCAGCTGTGTTAGACTAATTTCAAAGTGCTGATACCAAATCTGATCTCAGATTTGCTCTATCACATCTCATTTTTATGCTATCGGCATACCCCATTTTCATTGATTTTACCTGAAATTAACTCTGTCACTTATGATTGCAAGTTGTTGCGAGTCATTGACTGCTTTAGTGTTCAAATATGGTGCTGTACTTTTAGGATAGTGTGTTTATAATATCATTTTATGTAGATATCCACATTTATTTAATATTTTTCTTCTGCAGTTTTGATTGAAAATGAAATATTTGATATCTCAAGAACCTGATGTGATAGACAAAAACTGATGCCAGATTTGGAATCAGCACCCCAAAATACCTTAAACCCTATGAGACCTGCTTTACCAGTGGCAAAATATAGTAATAGGTTTTTACTCTTTCAACTGCCTTGTATAAAGGTGTCAGTTTTTGTACCAGTTGAAAGGGTAAAACCCTATTACTACCTTAAACCCGTTGGAATACCTTATGCCAGAAAAAGTGTGTTGACCAGTGTTATTAATGATCATCGCCACTGGGAAGGACGCGACAACTCCCTCTTCTGGTACGCAGGCGGTCGTGGGTTCGATCCCGGACCCTCCAGGATGATGCCACTTGCATATTTGGAGTCCGCGTGTTTTCTGTCCCTCTCCCCGTGATGGTCGCGTGGATTGTTCACCGGGTGCTTCCGGTTTTGCCTTCCTTCACATGACAAAAAAAACTTTCAAAAATAAACGTGTTTCGATTATTTTGGCTGCTCCTCTAAATTCCCACGTACGATGACTGTTATAGCCCAATGTGGACGAGCTTCCATTGCACGTGATGAGGTCGCCTCTGAAAAAAAGAGAGAGCTAAACAGCTCAGTGGAGACGAGATTCGAAGCTTTCGTGGCTGCAGGAATTACTCTTTGGTTCTTTCGGTAAAGTCACGTGAAGAAAATAAAGTTAAAATTAAAAGCTCAGTGGACTTCACACGGTTGAAGTAAAGTACATCGTTTTGTTGTTGTTGTTGTTGTTTTCTTGTTCATGTTTTTTGTTTGTTGTGGTTGCACCCGATTCAAGAGCCTAATGGCTCACAGGGCTGTACCTAATAAATGAAACTGAACATACCACAGCCATCATCATTTATCAATCATCATCATCAGCAGCAGCAACAGCCCGTCACTCCAAAGAACCGCCCCGCACCAGAGTGGACACCGCCCACACTACTTAAAGTGCACTCGCACGCACACGGCACGCCACAGTCGGCTGACTCTCACGCACGCACGCAGCGACGAGAGGAGACGGAAGGGCCGCGGGGGGCGGAGAGAGAGAGAGAGACACTTGCGGAGTTGAGCAGAGGAGTCTTTGTGGGCGGGTGGAGGGTTTTGTGTGTGCGTCGGTCAGAGAGACGTGGGCCGCAAGCTGCCGTTGACATTTTTCTCATCGGAATATCTGGTGAGTATACAACGACACGGTGTGTGTGGTGTGTGTGTGTGTGCGCGTATTCGATTAGAAATGAGATGGTAAAATGTGGAGTTTTATGATAATTGGTTTTTTACCCTTTAATCTGGCAACAAAACTGACACCTTTTTGTGGTATATGTAAACATGACTCCTTGTAAAAAAAAGGTGTCAGTTTTGTTGCCAGATAGAAGGGTAAAAAAACATTATCATATTTTTTACTGGCAAATGAGGTTCCAATGGTGGAGTTTTAGTTATTTTTTTACGCGTCAAAACGGATTTGCTCAGTTGGGGTATATAGCGTGCCGAATGTCGCCTCTACGTTTTGTTTTTACAAGGATTAAAATGCGAACATTTAAAATCACACGCCGCTCTTTAAATAGTGTATGCTGTGTATCGTAGTCTTTGAACATAGTGTATGCAACCATTGGAGTTATTTATAAGGGTTCGTATTAAATTAAAACTGGATTTGCTGTGACGGTGTTTGCAATTTTGCGGTGAGGGTGTGTATTGTATAACGTGTGATATATTACGCTACATAGACATTACTTCAGGGTAACAACTCTTTTGCACATGTATATTCCTGTATGCAGTGCTTTACTCGGGTAAAAATATAACTATTCTTTTGCAAATAATTTTGATGAAGGGGGGGAGCGGGTGCAGGGGGAGCGGTGGGCGAAGTGGTTCGCGCATTGCCCGGCGAGCCTGAGCCACCTAAGTTTGACTCCAGGCGACGGCTAACATCAGTGGCACGTACTCCTCCGAGCTGGTTCGGCCGGGGTCCTTCCCACTTGCAACCCGCGATTGCCAAACAACCAGTGCCGGATTTTCCGAGTCGCAAAAGTAGCTACGAATGTAGTAGCTGCATGTGTAGTAGCTACTACATATGTAGTAGTATGTAGTAGCTACTACATAGCGACGGGCCCCGCACTTTCAAGGGCCCCATGCTAAATGTTTTCAAGCTATCAATTGCGGTTCAGTGATTCTGCACTTGCTCTATCTCTATAGTACTATACCGCCTTCAACTTTTACGAGCGACTGGGTGTTTAAGGTTGTCGTATTATATGGCTGTATCGCAAATGAAAAAATACAATTACTTTACGATGCACGTAAAAAAAATGTGTTTTTAATATTTACGTGTTTTTTTAATGGGATATGCTACAGACCCACACTATCTTAATCCGGCGCTGCAAACAACCGACGTGGCGTGGCCTTTATCGAACATTAGATTGAGAATTAACCGTAATCGAATTCGCTGCATTATAATTCGTATGGATTTGTTTACGATTGCCATGACACGCTTTAACTGAACAGTCCACCCGCTCGCTCTCTCTCTCTCTCTGCCCGGTCGGTTCGATCTTTTTCTCGAGGATAAATAATACGCCGATAATACACCTTCACATATCTGCCCCTCCACGTAAAACCTAAAAAAAAATCGCACCAACTTTATTTCAAACATCCATATCAGTCACAAGGCCCTTTATTGGAGTGCCATCATTTCAGCGGGTATTGCTTCAACACGAGCGTCTCATGAGCAGAGCGGCCAGGCTCACTCGAACCCACGCTGGTGAACGGCGCGATGATTATTGGCAAGTGGGGGGAGACCCCCGTGTCTCTCTCTCGAATTTCATCTCCGTAGATGTTAAGGCTCGCATTGCCGCTGCTGCCTTTTGCTGCTCTGGAACCGTTTGTTGGCCCGTGCTGATTGTTACCGCGGTGGCTAAGAGATGTGAACTACTTCGCTTGGTATGCGGGAGGTCGTGGGTTCGATCCAGACCCTGGCACCAGATTTATATTTGGAGTTTGCGGTGTCTCTCTCTCGTCATCATCACGGTGGCTAGGAGATGTTAACTACCTCGCCTGATATACAGGAGGTCGTGGGTTCGATCCAGACCCTGGTACCAGCTTTATATTTGGAGTTTGCCGTGTCTCTCTCTCGTCATCATCACAGTGGCTAGGAGATGTTAACTACCTCGCCTGGTATGCAGGAGGTCGTGGGTCCGATCCCGACCCTGACGCGTTGTTGTTTAATTTGGAGTTTGCATGTTCTCACTCTCCCCCCTCCACATTTAGAATCAAACGTGCGTTTAGAGTGCCTGGCTGTTGCTGTCGCTGATGTTGCTGCTATAACATTTCCACGCGAGACTCAACTTCGCTGAGCGATCATTTTGTGATCGCCAGATCGCTTCTGAACCTTTTGTTACCTATACAGCTGAGTGGGCCTTTAGCTGGTAATTCTAGATTTGAAGCTTTCGTGACTGCAAGGATTCATACTCTTAGGTTTTTTTTCGGTAAAGTCACGTAGGAAAAAAATAAATAGAAATTATCTATTGTTTAACATTTTATTGTTTACTTTAGCTGTTAAATTTAAAAATATTCGCCCCCTCCCCACCCCTCCCCCCACGATATATATCTACCGTAGAGTCTCCACGAACGAGGAGGGAAGATGCGCGACACACCGAGAAGTCCGGACGACTGCCACAGCCGTGACAGCGGCATGGGGCTGTCCCCTCGCGCCGGGACCCCCGCCTCGCCCTGCTACAGCCACGGAGGAGGACCCAGCTCCCCGCCCGAGAGCTCGTGCTCTGCTCGGCAGACCGGTGCGTTACAACACCCCCCCACCCACACACCGCCCCCCTCCCCCGGGGACCAGACAAAGATCCCCTCGCCCCCGTGTAGCCTTAACAGACTGTTGGGGCAAGTGCTGTTAGCGAGCAGCACCTACGAATTCCAAATTTGAAGCTTTCGTGACTGCAAGGATTCATACTCTTAATTCTTTCGGTAAAGTCACGTAGGTAATAAATGAAATTAAAATTATTTTATTTTTATTAATTTGAATTTAATTTTTTACCTACGTGACTTTACCGAAAGAACTAAGAGTAAGCACCTACGAAGGCCGGAACGGTACACGTGACCAGCGCCACGATGTTTACGCACCGCACCGAGTACTCACTTGCACATATTGATCACTAAATATAGATTTTCTTGGTTTAGTAATAGGTTTTTACCCTTTCAACTGGTACAAGTTGAAAGGGTAAAAACCTATTACTATATTTTGCCACTGGTAAAGGAGGTCTCATGGTGTAAATTTTCTTGGTTCTTTCGGTAAAGTCACGTAGAAGGGAATATTGTTTTATATATATTTTATTATTTCCCTTCTACGTGACTTTACCGAAAGAACCAAGAATATGAATCCCTGCAGTCACGAAAGCTTTCAATCACTAAATATATATTTTAAACGTGCCGTGAATACGAGCCGTCGGGCAAAATGTTGCCTTGTAATCGACGAACGAGTTGCGTTTTCTTGTTTTCCATGTGTTGCTTGTTGCACCAGTGCCAATGCAGCAACAGCACCACCGAATAATTTCTATGTGCGGAAACATTTACACGAAAAAGTAGATTCGAACGAGCGAAGCACTGTGTTTAGCCTTTACGCAAATACCACGCTGACGACGGCTCCGTGCCGACTCGCCACTTGAGTCTTGCGACAATACGGACACATTAAACATTCGGTAAGCAGTGAGAAGCAAACGTAGCCTCCAAGGGCAAATCTCAACGAGGTGGGCGAAGCGCGCGCGTTCGATGCGATTGGCTTTCATTTCGTAACGCACGAGCAGGATAGGAAATTAACCCGTTGAAAAAATCGGCGACTCCCAGGAAAATTAACTTCTGTGTTTTTTGTGCGCGTGCGTTAATTCGGCACTCGTAAGTGGGGCTTTCTGTGGTCAGTGAATTTGCCTTGGCCTGCCCCGCTTCTCCAAAACATCGAGAGAATGGGGAGTTCACATTACGGACCCATCGACCCACGTCACTCGGATACCCACAATATACTTTTTTGTACATTTGCACAATCGTCTATTTTATAATGGGGCGCAGTGACCTCCGTTTGGATAATCGTACATCTGCTTCCTTGCTCGCGGTTAGTGCACGACTCCCAAAATAATGTTAAAAAAATACGTGTTCCATAACGGGGATTCTATACGATGGGGGGAGGAGGGGGGGGGTGATTCAGAGGGACGCAAGGGAAATGCGCACTATCATTGAGGAAGTTTGTCGAGTGGCGTGAGGATGCGACGTTCTCGACGATGAGCCTTGCGTGAACAATTGCCATCGATGAGGTCGCACAAGTTGACACCAGCCGCCAGGCATCCCATTGATTTGTCTCGTCTGAGAAACATTTTGTCTTCAAAATCACCTATGCACGGTAAGTGGCATTTTTTTAATGAGAGAAACTTTTCAGGCCAGTGTCCTTCAAGGTATGCAGTTAAAAAAAGAACATCTTGTTTGCACTGATACAATATATTTTAAAGGTAGCTTCTCCACTGCGTCACAACTTATTTCTGCGTGCTCATTTTTAAAAGATTCGGCAAACGTTTTTGCTTAGTGATATTTCTTTTAAAACATATTACCTAATTTTTTTTGTAACTTTCATTATTTAAACGTTTTATATTTACAGTGTCTAAAGTGTTACATCTGCCATATTGTGCGGTATGAATCGGTCATGTCTGCTTTGTAAATGACATGTTAAATTTAAGGAATCGACGGCATTTTACTCCCTTGGAAATGAGATGCAACTGAGGAGAGTGAATTTATATTTGATAAACAATAATCCCATCCGCGTTTCAATGGAACTTTCCAAACACCTCAAGGCTGGACCCTCATTATGATTGCTCTTATTTTAGGCATTCTCAGATAGGTGAAAGACGCGATTAAAATCATTATTATTTTAGAGAGGCAGAGTATACGAGCTGTACAAACAATGGGGAGTGAGGGGGGACTTGTGGGTCTGCCACGGTGGCTAGGAGATGTTAACTCCCTCGCCTGGTGCACAGGAGGTCGTGGGTTCTATCCCGACCCTGACACGTTGTGGCTATGAGATGTTAACTACCTCGCCTGGTGCACAGGAGGTCGTGGGCTCCATCCCGACCCTGACACGTTGTGGCTATGAGATGTTAACTACCTCGCCTGGTGCACAGGAGGTCGTGGGCTCCATCCCGACCCTGACACGTTGTGGCTATGAGATGTTAACTCCCTCACCTGGTATACAGGAGGTCGTGGGTTCTATCCCGACCCTGACGCCTGATGTATATTCGGAGTTTGCGTGTCTCTCTTCCTGTGGTTGTGTGGATTTTTTTTTCTCCGGGCCCTCCAGTTTTTCCCTCCACACTTATAAAACACGCGTTTAAAAAGCATTCGGCTGCTATAAATTACCACGTTATGATAAGCCACTTTCGTTGAGCAATAATCTTTGGCCGGGTCGCTTCTGAAAAAGAACCACATAGCTGGGTGGCCCTAACTGGTAAAATAAAATAAAGTGGGAGAAAGGCAGCTTGCTGTCTTCTGAGTTCGATTCCCGCTCACGGCCGCCAAACGCCGGTGACGATGCATCTGAACCGGTCCTGGGCCTCCCTACCACAGGCCGACTCAGCCTGAAACAGAGTGTCTGGTGTGGGGGTATAAACAATCTGTGGTGCCGACCACCCCTCCCCATCGTTGCACCGTGCCGGCCTTCACAGGTGCTCGCTACAGCCATTTGCCTCCAACAGCCTGTGAAAGTTCCAGCAGGGGGTGCATCTTTGTCTTTGGTGGTTGTTGTTGTTGATGTTCAGGTCGTTGATGTTATTGTTGTTGTTGTTACCGTTGCTGCAGGTGGTGACAACCCGCGAGTCTACCAAGGCGTGCGCGTGCGTTGCACGGTCCGCACCCTGCTGGAGCGACAGAGGAACGGCCAAGTGACGGGCCAGGTGCGTCAAGCGTCGCTCTTCCCACCATCCCCCCCCCTCTCTCTATGTCTCGCTCGTTCTCGCTCTCTTATCGGAGGGAAACACTCTGCCCGCAGTGGGCCGCAGCCACAGCAGTGCGCCGTATAAATAGGCCGAGCGTACGGAACGGAATGCACGCACGTGTTGGTGGTGGTGCGCGTAGGCCGCCCCCCGTTTGCGCCGAATGCGGCGCTGAGCGGGTTTTTTTTCTTCTGCTTTCCCGGAAAAGTTGTCCAGGTTTACAAACAGCTGTGGAATTAGAATTGATTAAAAAAAGGGCGCACGCGCGTGATCGCCCACGCGCACGCACGCGCTTCGCAAAACGAGTATACCAGTTTATTTTATTGCAGTTGGAAATGTGTCGCGCTTCCTGGCTAACCATGGGGGAACTGTGTTCCGAACCGGTTTTAGCCGGTTCAGGTATCATTCACCACTGACCAGCGTGTTGCAGTACGGTCGGGAAAATTATTGTTGTTCAAGTGGCAGTGCCTGGGTGGACGTACGAACTGTTTCTAAAAACAAACCGGCGCGTTAAAGTAGTTTGTCAAACTCAGAAGTGCTTTTGCATTTTACCACGTGATCGATCTCACTGGTGCAGAAACGAGAAAACGAATTCATTTGAGAAGAGTGCTAAAATAATAATAATTTACTTTGTAACATGACATGAAGAAAGAAGGCATATTGCCATGGAAAGTTGGACTCATATGTTTGACACACATATATTACGAGATTCTCAAGTTTGGCATTGGAAAAGCCAAGACTTACTTAGCATGCTCAATGTGACGAGAATACGTTTATTTGGGAACAGTACGTAAAAAGTGCACTGTGAGAATGAAATACAATAATAGTCACCAGGAGACTTTTATTTTGTAGTTGCAATCGCTAACCAGTTTGGCTGGGTCAAAGATATGGGACACTATGCTAGGTATAAATAGGGTGACGTTGGCTGCACAGTTGCCATTTTTTTTTATCTGTTACAAACAATGAAAATATTTCGTACAGTTTTCCATACATTGTAAAATGTACGACCGTTGTCAATTTCATTTGTTGTTGCTGTTGTTTTTGCAGACCCAGGTGCAAGGAAGTCTCAGCAATTGCATGGAAGGTAATGCGCGCACACTGGCCACTTGGCTCACGCTGAAGTCGCACGCGGCACACACTTAACTTGGCGACTGAACGGACACCGACCACCACCAGTTAGCCACGTCAATCGGAAATTCCTTTCGAGGGCAGGGCGTAGTTCAGATGTTTTTTTGTAGCTACGTTTTAGTTCTGGCTGTGTTCCATAGAACTTCGTATTGGTGAATGAATACAAAAAATAAGGCAAATTTGAAGCGCGTATTTCCAATCGCGCGGTGTGAAAATAATTACCACCCATCATTAGTATTATTCCTATTGTTGACGTTTGCTTACCCAGGAAAGCCTCACCGAGTCTGAAGACTTGCTTTCAGCACGGTCCTGCCAAGTTTGTTTTTGTTTCTTGCAGCGGTAGGCTGCGACGCTGCGACTTGCCATCCCAATGTCAGTAATTTGCAGGCGAACATCCAGCATCGGGATGCTTTGGCCCATACCGATGATGTAGCGTGTGTGTTTAACGATGGGAGGATCCCTGAAAACCCGGAAGAAACCAATGCAGAGCAGGGGGAGAACACACAAACTTCGCGCAGAAAGGCGCCCCAGTCGGGAAGCGAACCTAGGCCTTTTTTGTTGTGAGGCATACAAGAGTTACTGCTGCGCCACCCTGCCGCCACATTGCCGTTCATCCGTTAATTGTCATAAGTGGACGCTGCTTTAGTCACTGAAATATATATATACGTAATGCAATGAAGTTTTGGCCAACGCTTTATCAGCAGTCGTACGTTTTTTCTTGTCTATCGGTGAATCAATTAGTCCAAACCCTGGTCTGCGTTGTTCGCGACTAATGTCCATTGCCTCTCTCTCCTCTCCGGCTCCCCACCACCTCTGCCCCCGCCCCCCCACAATGTGCAGACCAAAGATACATCCCCAACAAGCGCCGGAGTAGTGGCAACACGCCCGTGCCCTCTAAGCGAGTGTGTCCATCCCAGCCGGTGAGAACCCCTCGTCGGAGAGGCAGCGGGCGACTACGCGCGCCACACACTCTCCCGTTCCTGTCGCCACTTTAACAACGAACCCTGGGAATAATAGTTGGAACTCCCACTACCCCCAAGGACTGTGCCCAGTGGCGAGATGTTAACTGCAGAAGGTCGTGGATTCGATCCCGACCCTGGCACCAGGCTTATATTTGGAGTTTGCGTGTCTCTCTCTCGTCATCATCACGGTGGCTAGGAGAGGTTTACTACCTCGCCTGGTATGCAGGAGGTCGTGGGTCCGATCCCTACCCTGACGCCTGCTGCTGTGTATTTGGAGTTTGCATGTTCTTCCCGTGGTCGCGTGGATTTTCCTCCGTGTCCTCCGGTTTTTCCCTCCACATTTAGAATCAACATCGCACGCTAAGAGTATTTGGCTGCTATCAATTTCCACGTAATAAGGAACTTCGTTGGGCTATCATTTGTGGTCAGGTTGCTTCTGAAAAAAAGAGCTACATAGCTCAGTGGGCCTAGCCTGGTAAAATATATAACGCAGCGTTACGACGTGTCAGCGATTCAAAGTTACCTCTTGGTAGATCGCCCTGCATGCATTAAACGTGGCACACGTGTGTAACTCGCGGTGTCTTTCGCCCCCGCAGCCCAAACAGGAGTCGGACTCCGCCTTCGAGATGCCGGAGATGTTCCAGGAAAACTCCTCCGAGTACCAAAGCGACGACCTGCAGGAAATCCTCGATAACATCCTCGAGATAGAGGAGCGGGACATGTTCAAATCGTCTTCTCCCCAGCCGGAGATGGGGACGATCACCCACGATCCGAACAACACACAGGAGCTCTTCCTGCCTTTGGAGGATTGCTGGCCGGACAAGAAGTTCACGCCGGCGGAGCCGAAGCCGCAAGAGTGGCCTTATGCCGAGCTCGACGTGGGGAAGCTTCCCAAGGTGGACAACAAATGGGTGTACATCTCCGATCGCCAGCCTCAGCAACAGCAGCAGCAGCAGGCCGCCCCTTCCCCCCTGGGGGGCAGGCCGAGCGAGCAGCCGCGGCATCAACCTCCCGCTCCTTCTGCTCCTCCTGCTCCTCCTGCTCCTCCCGCTCCTCATCTGGCGCCCAACACAAGCAGCACTTGCTCCCAGGGCAGCGGCTCGTCGTTCCTGGACAGGCAGATCCAGCAGATGGAGCAGAAGCTGGCGCACGTGACGACGCAGCAGCTGTGCCAGAAGGACGTGGACGGCGACACGTAAGGGCACGACGACGAGACACGGGTCGCTCGCACTTGGCACGGCGGGGGTGTCGGTGCGGCCAAAGTGGAGCTTTAACGCAGAAATCGGAACGTTTATTTATGCTGGAGGAATCCGATGAACCGTCAAGCTTCTTTTCCATGCCGAGAAGCGGTGTTAATTCCATCAGCTGTTTAGTCTCAGGCTAGTTGACAGTGACAGTAGCTTGCGAAAAATTCAATCGAGTATTGGTCTGCGGATTGCATTTCGTCGTGAAACTTTCAAGATGCCGACTAAATTCAGAGCCACTTGGAAGGAAGTGACATCTTGTTGCAGACTTTTCCGTGGACTCTTTTGGCAGTGGGCTGGTAACTCGAGATAATACTGGCCGCCACCACCGTCTTATTTAAAAGATTGCATGGCTTAAAGCCATTAGAGATACGATTTTTTCTCTCTCTCTCTCTTGCTTACACATTCACGTTTAAATGGCATGAAAATCCCAGCAGCGACTGTCATAAATCACGAAATTATACCCTGTCGGCACCACGGTGGCAAACTCTCACATATGCCCTCTTAACATGAACTTGATACGTGAAAAAAAATCCCAGCTATCCTGGCCCAATACTAATACGAATAAAACTGAGCGGTAAAGAGTTGGTCTAATTTACTCAAATTGTGCATAGTCATCCTGTTCAAATGTGCACCGTCTTCATTTGTTTGCGTGTGTGTTGTTGTGTCCACGTATGTGTTTGGCTACGTGTTGGTATGCGCGCGCGTGTGTGCGTGCTGGCATTTGCGTGTGTGCGCGCGTGTGCTGGTGTGTGTGTGCTGGTATGTGGGTGTGCGTGCGTGCGTGCGTGCGTGACCCCACTCTAGGTTGCTGCACATCGCGGTGGTTCACGGTCAGCGGGCGCTGGCGTTCGTGCTGGCGCGGAAAATGGCGAGTCACGGGTACCTGGACGAACGGGAACACAATGGCCTGGTGAGATGCGCAAGTGGCCCGGAGGTTGGAGGTGGTGGCGGGGAGGGGGGGAGGGGCAAGGGGGGGGGGGGGTTCGCACCCTGCCTCGGGTGACTTCGACGATAAAATCGGTCACGCGGCGTCGGTGTTTGTCCCCGCGTCCGGGGTAATGAATTCGACTTCCTCGACGCCGCTCGGCGTTGCGCAACTCACCGGTCGGCCCGCCCGCAAGATGCAGAAATGTAAATAGTGAAGGCGCCACCTCAACTGTTGAGGAAATGCAAATTAATGCTCAAGGAAGTCCGTAAAGGCGACGCATAGTTACGCAACGTGTCTCAGTCCCTGTGCCATAGCGCGCGTGCGTCTTTTGTCTCCCGCTTTTTTTTTTATTCTTTGAAGGTGTAACCCGCTTCCTCAGTAACCCCCAACTCAACACGCACGTCACACACACACTTGAAATGATAACAAAAAAACCCCCAAAGGATGTCTGCAGTGAAAAATGAACGCTATCGTTATATTCATAAAGATGATAAAAACAGAGCCATGGAAACCACCCCGACGCTCGTCGGCAGGTGCCAGGTGACGGGTAGCAACGGACGGCTTGGTGACACCTTCACGCGACAGTGGATTGACCACGGCTGACGATGAAGATTGTGAAAGTGCCAAATTTCGCCACGCGCAAACTGTTTTCGGGTTCGTTGCAAAGAATAAAAACTACGCTAAAGGCGTTCACTAAAATCGTTTGAAAAAAAATCACGATGCAATTTGTGTACCTTGAATAACAGGGCGTGTGTTTTTTTTACTCATTTTTTTTTTTACCCAGTCGGCATTGCACCTGGCGACCGTGACCAATCAGCCTCTGATCGTGGGTGACCTCATGAGGCTGGGCGCTGAGAACAGCACCACCGACCGTTGGGGCCGGTCCCTGATCCACGTCTGTGCCGAGGGTGGGTTCCTGCAGGTGCTGGAGGTGAGGAATCTTAAAACCAGTTTTTAAAACCTATATTTAATTTTACTGGGTAAGGCCCCACTGAGCTTCATAGCTTTATTTCAGAAGCGACCTGACCACAAGTGATATCTCAACGAGGTGTCTCATCACAATTTACATCAATCAAATACTCTAAACGCGTGTTGATTTATAAATGTGGAGGGTAAAACCAGAGGACCCGGAGAAAAATCCACGCGACCATGGGGAGAACATGCAAACTTCAAACATAAAGACGTCAGGGTTTGGGATTGAACCCACCGACCTCCTGCATAACAGTCGAGGCAGTAAATATCTTGCTACCGTGGCATCCTATCCTCAATCGGTATCACTTTTATTTTTTTGGGGATTGTACTTGGTTACCCCGGAAAGCCTCACAGAGTTCTAAGACTGCTTATTCGGAGCGATGTTGCCGAGTGTGTTGTGCGAACACCGCGCGTTAAGCGAGGACCTACCGTGCGAGTTTTCTTTGGTTCCGATGCTACGTGAGAGAACGTCGCATTGAGTCGGCGGGGGGCGGGGGCGGGAGCAGGAGTGGGTGGTCTAACGCGTTCGTGATGTTTCTGCCTCGGTGGATGCAGGTTCTGAAGAAGTGGTGCAAGCAGAGGGGAAAGGTCTTGGAGGTTGACGTTACGAATTTCGAAGGTAGGTTTCGTGTTCTCCACGCGGAGCCCTATGAATACCTCACCACAGATTGCGAGTTTCTCGAGTCCAAACACAATCGCCATCTCTAGAGTTTTGTGTTCAACCGCTGTTGATATCTTACAGATTCAAACGTATATATTTCTATCACTCTTTTGTTCCCTTTAACTAATCCCAATGGTTTTAAAATTTCAAAAACGTACTTGGCAGGTTTAATTAAATTTTCTTGTAGTGACATCGCAGGCTTGAGTCATATTCACACATTCGCACGTCTGCACATGGCACGGTATACATTTGACGGTGGTTTTTTGAACGGAAGCCGACACTGATCAATTGACAACGATTGGAGAGAGAGAGAGAGACGATGATGAGTTGACGATTGATGCAAATTGATGCACGAATTGAAGCGCGGTGCACTGGGACAATATTGTCAGCTCGCAAGAGGGAGCCGCGTTATCCGGACAGTTGGCAAGGGCAGGAGGCCAATGAGAGAAGTCACAACGACAGAGGCCATCAAATCAGTCGGCAAGTGCGCCGATTAAAGCACGGAAGGTTCTCGAGCAATCAACGAAACTCTTCGCTTTTTAAGTCTTTCATTCCTGGGCCCTTGTCAATTACGAATGAACCCGAACAAATGCCCCTGAAAGAATGAACCCCAATGAATGAACCCCAATGAATGAACCCGAACGAATGAACCCTGACGAATGAAGCCTGACGAACCGACGATGCTGCCGCCGTTGTTGCTACGGCCGCCGATGATCAGGCACCGTTGCGTTTTGCCTGCCATGGACGAGCGTCGAACTCGCTAACGGAGGATGACGCCTCTCCCCCTGCCCGCCCCCCTCAGGCCTCACGCCGCTGCACTGCGCGGTGATGGCGCACGGCCAGACAGCGCGGGAGCTGCAGGCGATGCTCGAACGCCCCCAGAATGCCTCTGGGGCGGCGGAGCTGGTGCGGCTGCAGCAGCGCAAGCAGCACCTCCTGGGCACCGTCGCCATGCTGCTGGGCATGGGCGCCTCGCTCCACGCTCAGGTGAGAGACGTTTTTTTATTAAAACCAAACTTTATTTTTTATTTTACCCACACCTTGGCTATGTATGGTGTATAAGAAGTCCAACATACATACCATACACGTTCAAAATACATGTATTACCAGGTAAGACCTACTGAGCAATATCGTTCTATTCAGAAGCGACCTGACCAGAAGCGATAGCCCAACAAAGCGGCTTATCATGTGGACATTTATAGCAGCCAAATACTCTCAAATGTGTGATGTTAATTCTAAATGTGGATGTAAAAACCGGTGGACCCAGAGAAAAATCGATGCGACCATGGGGAGAGAGACACGCAAACTCCAAATATATAGGCATGAGGGTCGGGATCGAACGCACGACCTCCTGCATACCAGGCGAGGTAGTTAACATCTCGCCACCGCGGCACCATCCTGACCCGAGCTTCGATAAATGAGTCGCGTTTCGTGGGGAGGTCAAGAGTGGTGGTGGCTGCTCTATGGAGAGCGTCTCATCAGTAGAGCCAGGCTTGCTTACACCAATGCTGGCGGCCTGCCACATGTCCGTGGGCAAGGACACTCTCTGTTGGATACGGCTCCTGGATCGACGTGAAGACACACTGAAGCGTTTGTGCTTTCGCTAAGTTGTCCCCACCTGAAAAAGGATGCTTGTGTTGCGCCCGAAACGTCGTGATTTAATTTTTTTAAATTTTGTACCTACGTGACTTTACCGAAGAAACCAAAGAGTATGAATCCTTGCAGTCACGAAAACTTCAAATCTAGAATCGACGTGAAGCTACTTAAAAACAATGCATAATAATCATCAGCATCATTGCGGAGAATATAAGTAACAACTAAAATATTTGCTTGCATTCTCAGCTTTGCCTGTTTCACAAGAATGCGCTTTGTTAAAAGGGGTGTGCAAAATGACAGCGATAAACTAATCCCGGGGATTGCTGCTGCTGCTGTTGTTGTTGTTCGATGCAGGATGGGAAGAGTGGCAGGTCAGTGATTCACTTCGCTGTGCAGGACTCCAACCTCGAGCTGCTCGACTTCCTGCTCCGTCTCCCGACGTGCAGTCCACAGCTGATCAACATGAAGGTAAGATCGTCGACACGACGACACGTCACTGCTTAGGGGGGGTGGGGGTGTGAAGGGGGGGGGGCACTGCCGTGGGGAGCGGTGATGCAGCGGTCGGCGCACTGCGCTACGAACCCGGCGGCCCGAGTTCGGTTCCGGCTCACGGCCAACACCGGTGACGATTATCTGAACCGGTCGTAGGCCTCTCCAAGGTCGACTCAGCCTCAAATGAGTACCTGGAGCGGTGTGTAAACATCGCCACTGGGGAGACAAAGGTGGCAGGGCGTGGTGCTGGCCACCCACCCCTTCGTGTGCCGTGCCGGCCTTCATAGGGTGCTACTCACTAACAGCACTTGCCCCAACAGTCTGTTAAGGCTACACGGGGGATCTTTGTTCTCTCGGCGGTGGCGGTGGTGGTGGTGGGTGGCACTGGCGTTGCTATTGCCGTCGCTTCACGTGTGAGGGGGGTTTGCCTGTGGACCATTCGCAGGCTTACAACGGGAACACGGCGCTGCACGTGGCGGCCGGGATGGGCAACGGCGGTGCCTGCGGTGGCAGCGAGCAGGAGAACGTGATCCTGGTGCTGATGCACTACGGCGCCGACCCGAGCGTGCGCAACCTGGAGAACGAGCAGCCGCTCCACCTGGTGTACCAGGGCAGCGCGAGCGCCGAATTGGTGAGCCCGACGGCAGGCGCTGTCGTCATCGCGGTGAATGTCGTCATCCGATCAGCCACGATCGGCGCAGTTGTCAGATAGATCGGTCGCCACCGTGATTGTGATGCTCACGATCATCGTCGTTCGTGTCGTTGCCACATTCCTCGTCGCCGATGACCTGTCACCATCACTCGCATCATGACCTTGATCACAATCGTCATCGATGCACATTTTTGTAAGTAACTTCACTGTCGTCAGTCGGGTTTGACTCACGATCTTAATCGCAACGTTGATTGGTAATCATCGTACCGTAACGGCGCGCTCGTCAACACGTCCAGAATGAAAATCGCGTAACGCAACGCCGCCGTTGAACGCGCGTGTTTATCTTACGCCGCTTAACCCAGTGCCTCCCTTCCCCCCGCTGTTGTTTTTGTTGTTCTCCGCAGGTGAAACAGATCCTAAGAGGGAGGGCTGGGGTGTCTCCACGAGCAAGGGCCCCTGCTCAGGCCATCCTGGGCAGGCAGTGACTTTGGTTCGCATGGCGTCGCCCTGGTCAGAAAATCACTGTCATGTGACAGTCGGGTTTCCTTCAATGTTTTCAATTTAGCGACTTAAGGTGTCTGGGTTTGGCTCCTAGGCCGTCGAGCACGAAGGCTCGCAAACGCACCGTCTCTTAGGGCCTTCCAACGTCCGCGAACGTGAAATGCCGAAGCAAATAAACGCGACGTCTCCATTTTCTACGAGATCCCAAAAAGCGAACGCCGATGAATTGCCATTTTCCAGCCAATTTTTTGTTCATCGGTTAAAAAAGCCGAGCATCGGCCACCACTAGCAACTTCTGACAGCCTATTTATCTACGTATTTATTTCCGCTAAAACAAACGGCGTGCACCGTAGATGCAAATTGGTCACGAGCAGTAAGCGGCTTATCATTGCTGCTAAAAACTGTCAACCATATTCCCTCTTTTAAACACCAATTTGGTTTTGGTTGTTGTCGCGTTATTTGTTTTTTGGCCGGGTGGAGGGTGGGGGGTGTGGCAACCACTCCTAAAATGCCCCCCCCCCAACCCTCCCCCAGTCCACGTTCGAGACTTGGAAGGTGCGATTTTGGCTGCGTGTGTGGGACGGTGCTTGCGAGCTGTCGTGGCTTGTGCCACAAGGAACTTTTCCCAGGGACTGTTGCGAAGTATTCATGGTTTCTATGAAACTCCACGTGTTGGTCGCGTTACGTGGCCACCTGTATAGTTATACGATGAGGCGCTCCCCCTTATATAACCACTTTCGTTTCTCTTACTGTCATTTTTACGCGTGATTTTTGTTGTCGTTGTTGTTAAAGCGTAGATCGTGTCGGAGAAAGTTTCACTCATCTGGTAGGCGTGGGCATTGACTGCCCCTCGAGAGAGAGAGAGAGGCATTTAATGCTTTGAAGCCCAGAGATTTATCGTTCTCCAAACCTCCGCTCATTCATGACCAAGTGCGCAGGCGGGGACAGAATAAATCTCAATAGAGACCCGGTTAGAGGGGTTATTATGGTTAGTGCTCAGCAATTACGAATTATATTTTTCATGAAATGTTTTTATAACGTATAATCAGTTAGAAACCATTGACGTAATGGCTATTACATAGCTTTAAACGTCGCTATAATTAAGCTCTATTCCACAGCACAGTCATTATTATAGTCCACGTTTGGCTGCCTATTGTAATAGCGATGAGAGGATTATGAGTGAGATTGGTCAATGAGACGGACAATTCGCGTGGCTTATTTATTTTAATTATTTTGTTCTTACAGATGAGTTAAACTTGGCTCTGCAACAAAGTCAATACGTTTAGCATACATTATATTTAATATTTTCTAACCGTCGTGTTACATATACATATTTAAATCTATTTTTTCACCTTTGATTTTAATTTATGACACAACATTTGTGTGTTTTTATACATCCTGATTATTGTTTAAGTTTACGAAGATTTTCAACGTCTATATAATTAAGGTTTTGATTCTTTAACAATGGTAAGAATAGGTAATAAATTTAACATTTTACTCTCTTCTTTGAAGGTAGCATGTTTAAAGTTTAAGTAGGATTCTGATTTAGTTGCATCCGCAGTTGTTTTAAAGTCCACTGATATTATAATTAAACAAATTGTTATTCGTGTCTGATAAACCATGATCCTAGCACTGCTGGATAAAGGTCTCTCTCCGTACTCTCGGTCACTGGTGGTCGTTTGACCATACTTCACCACGCCGGTCAGTGCAGATTGCTGGAGGGCCGGGGTTTGGGGCCCCAGAATTGGTTCAGACACCATACACCACAGGATGTTATCCATGAGCGGGAATCTAACTTGGGTTGCCGGGTTCATGGGGCAGTGCGGGAAACCGTTTCACTGCGTCACCGCTAAATCCAAGATTATGTCATTCGAATAAATGTTTAACAGTGTGCCATCCCCGCGTACGAGTATTTTATGGGGTTTACTGTGTAGGGTATATAAATATATATATATATACGTGTAATGCGCGCATAGTAGCATGGTTTTCACGGTCGCGTGAATCATTTTAACGTCTTCAAATTAATAGCTGCAGGGGGATTTCTTTCGAGGGAATTTTGTACGTCTCCGTTAGCGTAACACACGTTTTATAAATCGCGAAGGCAAACTGTTCATCTTTATTCGAGAGAGAGAGATATATATTAATATAAATGTTCTGTATACGGGTAGTAATAATAATGTTTTAAAATACTCTATCGTTATCGCTTCCTGTGTAGTCGTAAATGTGAAACGCATGCGTACGCGTCGCGTGGACGATGTAAGTACGGTAACTATGAACTCAACTTTAATTTTACCAGCTACAGCCCTCTGAGCTACGTAGCTCTCTTTCAGGAGTAAAGCTGGCCACAAATGACAGCTCTATGAAGTGGCTTATCGCGTGGAAATGTATCGCCGCCAAATAATCAAAAACGCGTGCTTATAACTGTGGAGGGGAAAAACGGAGTCCCACACGACCACGGGGAGAACACAAAAACTCCAATTATACAACAGGCGTCAGGGTCGGGATCGAACACACGACCTCCTGCATACAAGGCGAGGGAGATAACATCTCGTAGCCACCGCGGCGCCCCATATATTGACGAGATGGGCACGTGGTTTCCGCTGAATCTCCGTCGTTCGATCGCCGCAACCGTGCAACTCTCCCGGGCGTCGTTTTTTGTTGAGCCTCAACAATAAAAGCATCAGTTTTCACTTTCGGTCGGTCGTCGACGACGTGTGACGATTCGGTGACGAGTCGACGGGTTTAGTTTTCATTTCGATTGTGTTATCCTTCATGCATGCAAAAAAAAAACTAATAAAAGACTTCACGTCACTAAAGGCAACCCCGTGAGTTTCCGGCGTGAGCTTATTGTCCCCCACCGAGAGCGCTCGCGACGCGTGCCGACCGTGCGTGGATCGGTTTTTTACCCTTCTATCTGGCAACAAAACTGACATCTTTTTTTACAAGGAGTCATGTTTGCATAGACCACAACACCTGCAGTCATAATGCAAAAAAAAACATAACTCTGATAATGTATGCACCGTCCTTGAAATTGATTGGTCCACACCCGAGACAGCTTTCCTTAGAGCCTAGTCTCACATGGGTTGGACCAGATGACGCCAAAAGGCGCACAACTCAACGACAATGCACCATCAGAGTATGAGAGCTCGGGGCAAGCATCTACACTATGGGAACCTCATTTGCCAGTAAAAATATGATAATTGGTTTTTTAGCCTTCTATCTAGCAACAAAACTGACACCTTTTTACAAGGAGTCATATTTGCATAGACCGCAATACCTGCAGTCATAATACAAACAAAAAACACAACTCTGATAATGTGCACTGTCCTTGAAGTTGATTGGTCCACACCCGAGACAGTTTTTCTTAGAGCCTAGTCTCACATGGGTTGGACCAGATGATGCCAAAAGGCGTCATCTGGTCAGAGTTTTGTTTTTTGTTTGCATTATGACTGCAGGTATTGTGGTCTATGCAAAACATGACTCCTTGTAAATAAAGGTGTCAGTTTTGTTTTCAAGTTTCAAGTTTAATTTATTTAGGTATAGCCCTGTGAGCCATTCGGCTCTTGAATCGGGTGCAACCGCAACAAACAAAAAAACTAAAACATGAACAAGAAAACATCTTAAAGTGACTATGTATAAACAGAAAATCCAAAGAAAAGACAGCAAAATATTGCACAAAAATCACCGTACACCAACACTGCGTGCAAAATTCCAGTGGGATGCAAGTCAAACAACAACAACCACAAGACAACTTAGATTAAGGCCATCAGTCTAACTCTGTACTACAACAAACAAACATGGCCAAACCGAAAAACTTTTCAAAAATCACCAAAATAAAGCCATAAAAGCAATGAAACAGTGGTCATAGGAACTGTGACCGAATTTTCACAATAAACGACGTGAACAACATGTACCACCACCAAACTCTGCAGCCACGTAAGACAACAGTGCAGGCTTCCACGACTTATGCTGCGGGCCAAAGCGGCTACCCACGTCGAAACGAACTTCAGAAAGGAATCCACTGGAATTTTTCTTCTTGGTTCTTTCGGTAAAGTCACGTAGAATGGAAATAATAAAATAATAAAAATAAAACATGATAAAATAATTCTCACGACGTTTCGGCCACAACGCAAGCAGCCGTCCTCAGGTGAAGAACAGGTCTGTCGAGAAGACAGTCTTCTTCTCGAACAGGTCTGTCTTCTCGACAGACCTGTTCTTCACCTAAGGACGTGCATTTCCACGTCGCAATAAGCCACTTCGTTGAGCTATCATTTGTGGCCAGGTCACTTCTGAAAAAGAACTAATAGCTCAGTGGGCCTTATCTGGTTCAACAACAACGACACAATACCGGAGGCTGCTGGGTTTGTGTGGGAGGAAGAGAGAGAAAACGGTAATTTCCGTGTCCTCAGCACTGTGCATTTAACTTAATATTGCAGTCACAACCAAGGTTCGATGCTAATACGATATTAATGTACAACTCATCTCATCGTGACCGAATCTCACCACACCGTGCAAGCCGAATGACGTACTCAATGTATGGAGGAGACTTACGTAGCCGACTTAAAAAAAATCTGAAAATGTATAATCATAGTTTGCACTTATTAGGCGCCTTTCACAATCCCTCAAGGTGCCTTAAGTAGAAAGAGGCTAAACTTGGACTCGAGCTTAGGAAGAGACAGCAGTGGTGACAGACAGAGAGAGAGAGCAGCAGCAGTGGTGAAGGCGTGACGACCTCCCATTGTTCGTTTTGTGTAACCCGACGAGCAGTGGCAGATCAAGCTAGTGCGGGGCCTGTAGCATATTATGTTATAAAGGGGCCCTAAATAAAAAAAAAGACACGTACATATTAAAAGACAACATTTTTTACTCGCATAATAAAGAAAAATTTTATTTTTTCATTTCAATACAACCATATCATACGAAAAATCGCGAACCTTAAACACCCAGTCGTTCAAAAAAGTTGAAGGCAGTATAGTACTATAGTACGCTCCAAGCTTGGTGGTGTTTCATTCTTCACCTGATGACGGCTGCTTGCGTTGTGGCCGAAACGTCGTGAGAATTATTTTATTATGTTTTATTTTTATAATTTTTTATTTCCCTTCTACGTGACTTTACCGAAAGAACCAAGAAGATGAGTACTATAGTAATAGAGCAAGTGCATAATCACTGCACCGGAATTGATAGCTTGAAAGCATTTAGCGCGGGGGCCCTTGAACGTGGTATGGGTGTGTGTGTGAGAAATCTGCTCCATACGTAGCTACTACATACGCCGCTACTTTTGCTGCTAGAAGAATCCGGCATTGGCGACGAGAACTCCAGATACCTGGACGAGGGTCTAATTCACAAGAGTGACGCGAGCCGACAACACGGCACCCCCCCCCGACCACCCATGGCCGGCGTGGGGAAGCCTTCGTCCACAAGCGGATTCGCAAAGCGCTTCGCGTGATTACAATTGCAATGGACAAAGATTGCCCCGCGTAGCCTCAACAGACTGTTGGGTCAAGTGCTCTTCTTGAGTAGCGCACATGAAGGGCCGCACGGCACACGAGGCGGTTTGTGGCCAGCACCGCGCCCGGCCGCCTTTGTCTCCCCAGTGGCGATGTTTACGACACACCGCACCAGGTATTCACTCGAGGCTGAGTCGACCTAGGGGAAGCCCAGGAGCGGTTCAGATCATTGTCACCGGGTGTTGGCCGTGAGCGTGAGTCGAACTCGGGTCGCCGGGTTCGTAGCGAGATAGCTGCTACACTACCGCCCCAAACACACACACACACACCCATGCCACTGTATGTAAACACGCTATGAAGAATGAATCACGGTTTGTGATGAACAAACTTGCATTGAGTATTTAAGTGTAATGCGGTTGTAAACGGCCCTTCTGAGGTGCCGTCAGGGGGGGAGGAGTTAGGTCACGTGGGGGGAGAGGGGTTGAGTATAGAAGGAGGGGAACCGGAAGAGCAGGGGGAGTGACGGGGAACCAGGAACAGAGGAAGGCCACGAAGGGCGAAGCGGGGTGTGGCGAGATCGCCACGAACACGGGGGGAGCGAGGATCGGCACCGTTGGCCAGCGGTGACCGACCCGAAGCAGCGAGGAGGCTGCAGTCAGCAGCGGGGCTGCACAGAGAGGGTGGGCAGCGGGTCTGCATACAGTGACAGCCAGAGGGTCTGCACATAGGGGTAGCAGCGGGGATCTGCATAGGGGTAGCAGCGAGTCTGCAGGGAGGAGGTTACAGTAGATGAAGCAGAGAGTCAGAGGGGAGAGGAAGCTATAATAGCAGTGAATAGCCGGGGGCTACAAATACAGGAGT